TGCAGGACACAATCGACCCTCTGCATGAAGCTCTGGTGCAGTTAGGGGTCAGCGGCTGATAAGAGGGAGGTCATGGATTGGCTCAGACAGAAGACACAATCAGACAGGTTTGCATCCTTGAGAACATTATGCGAGGAGAGGAGTTGGTCAAGATCCACCTGAACAGTCAGACTTGTGTAGAGTCATAATCCACGCTGAGCGGTATGCGAGAGACTTGGCCAGCAGGTGCCACAGAGGTGGAATTCAGCAAATAATTCAAGATATAAGCTCGCTCAGAGGATTTGATCATTTACACAGACGGTTTAGTGTCAAGAGGCAAAGAAGTGCTTGGGGCTTCTTAGCAAAAGTTAATGGTCGACGTTTGGTGCAGGAGAGCCGCGCATATGTTACACAACATCCAGCTTAAAATTGAGGTGGAGGCAGTCACTGCTGCTATTTCCGCTGGCTAGAGAACACGACACACACACATTTATCGTGATTTAAAACTGATTCAGAAGGCATGCCGAGGGAGATCAGGAACAGGTAGCTTTCGCGCAGAGTGGGCATGCTTCGCTTGCGAAGGACACGGGTGAGGATATCTGTCTGGATTTTTTTACCTGGGCCACACGCCGAATGTGTTGGGAAATGAACAGGCGGAACAGACTGGCTGGCTCTGCACAACTTGGTGGAATCATGATACGTGGATAGGGCAGACGCGGTTAGGGCCTTGTGGGAGAGCTTGGTACAGTTCGGAGGAGCAGTATGGATCACCCACAGTCTAGTGAAATTGTATGCAGCGGGAGTGACGAGATGTTCTGACAGATGTTCCGCTCGAGCTCAGAGGACAGGCAAGACGGACGTTTAATCAGAATGCAACTGGCACCACTAGTATCGGAACTCTTCGCTGCTGCTGAAGATGGGGACGGGGACGCTTATGTGAATTGCCCCGAGTGCTGTGATGCTCGGTTCTTGAATCAAATCAATCAGCAAGGTTTGCGATAATTTACTTTCGGTGACACATCCAACTTCATCGAACATTGCATGACCGGGTTATCTTCCCGAGGTTCATCAATTGTATATCATACATCTTAGTTTCTTAGTTAGATAGCTATTTATTTAGTCAAACGATAGATCATCCTCACTATCGAACCATTCAGTCCATAAAAGTACTCTGACTCCATCCCTCATTAATCCTAATCATTTAGCGCTGTCAACACTTTCTGCATTGTATCTCGTATCTAGCCCTCGATCCTTTTGACTTGTATATTCATAATACTTATACAAAGTAAAAGTATGAAAACAGACAGGACAAAGGATGTGTACAGACATGAGACCCCAATGCCATGTGCGTAGACTATAGAAAGAAACATAGGGGCGAGGGATTCTGTGTGACTCAGGTCCCTTGAAACCTCAAACAGTTTTTTAAACGAGGAAAGAGGTGTGGTGGGGGTGGGGGGGGGGGGGGGGGAGGAATGGGGGGGGGGGGAGAATGAGAGAGAGATGAGGAGGGGCTCTTTTTTGTTTAATGCTGTTTTATTTTAAACATCCCAAGCCCTTCTCCAGTTTTCAAGTCAACAAGAATGCGTTTTAAGTCGAGACTCGAATCAAGTCCCTTCATCAATAAGTCATTTACAAGTTTTGGCATAGAACGATGGTTTTGTGGATTACAACCGAAAAATGGCAGAGCGGGGGAGGGTTAAGTAGACTATATGTACTGATAAAAGCGAAGAAGTCGAAAGTGGAAAGCTTGATATCTGGTTAACAGAATTTATCGGGCCTTTTTATAAAATGTGACTAGATAGCTCAACGGAATGATGGAAAAGACGAACACAAAACACAGCCCCCGAACGTTTTGACCAAAGTCTTTATCAATGGACTACTAAATACAGCACAAACTGTCACTAGAAAACTTAAAGGTTGTGTTTGTGTGCAATTTTTTCCATTCCCTAAGTTGAAATTTCGTCACCTTTTGTGTTGTATTTAGCATTTCTTGCAATCAGCTCGACTGCATCATCATCCTCATCAGGTGCCTTGCCGACTGGCGTGGGCGATCATGCCTCTCCATAATCTGCGATCTCCTGCAGCATGTATCAGTTCGTGTGCCGACACACTTCCATGACATGCAACAAGACTGTCAAGCATCTTTTTTATCGTTGGTCTTCCTCCATCCCTCATTCCACAGATCTTTCCAGTGGTCACAAACATGTTCTATTTTTCCCTCTTCTCATAGAACATGGCCGAAAAATGATGACTGTCTCCTTCTGATATCTGTGATAAGTTGTCTTCGGCTCCGGCCTTTTTCAACAACCTCTTGGTTGCTTTTTTGGCTGTCCAGGTATTCTAAGCATTCTTATGTAAAAACCACATCTCTGAGGCCTCTAGAAATTGAGTTGGCCTGCCTACCGATTGTCCAGGATTCACAGCCATATGTTTACAAACTGGATGTATGTAGCAAGCAAGAATTCTTTTTTATAACTCTCAATGACAAGGATATATTGCACAAGATGTTTTTCATTCTATAAAATGCAGTTTTTGCCTGTCCTATTCTGATTCTTATCTCAGTTATGCATCTTCCATCTGATGTTATCCATGTGCCCCAGATACTAAAAATTTCTGTACTTGTCACGTCCTAAAATAACATGTCATCGACTTTTATTACACATTTTTAGGATAATTCGTTTCTTTGATACCACCATTACTTCTGTCTTCCCATTATTCAGAACTGAGGCCCATTCTTCCACTTTCTAAACACCACCAAACGTCTATCATTTCCTGTAGTTCTTTCTGACTTGTTGCTATCAAGACTGTATCATCAGCATAACGTAAATTGTTTATATTTTGCCCACCAACCACAATTCGGGTGGTATATTAATTAAATATCATATATATTCACTGTATATTGAAAACAAATCAGGTGACAGTACACATATTTACGTCATCACCTTTTTATATTAGGAGGCTTCAAATATGTGACATTGGTCACCAACATCACAATAGCCGCGTGAAGAACGAGTCGTACCATCGTCGCAAGTAGAGTCGATGGACAAAACTAGGATTATGATGTGATTATCTATACAGGCGAATAGACGTCGCTTAGTTTAACAAAGCCTGGCATATGATACCACAACGTTTAGTTTGAGAATGGAGGTGGAGGTAGTCACTGCCATCTTCTGCTTTCACTTGCTTGAAAACCCGCTGTAAACACATGTCATGATTGCAACTGACTCACGAAGTATGTTGACAAAGGTGAAGACAGGTATGCTCCGTGTAGAGTGGCAAGCATCGCTTTAGAGGTCCCGGGTAGTTAGCTTCCTTTGGATATTTTCTCCAGGTTATGCTCGTGTGTTGGGAAACGAGCAGTCAAACAGACTGGCCGGCTCTGCACCCCTTGGTAGATGTTGAGAGGCCCCTTTGGGAGCGAGTGAACAGTGTGGAGGCACAAATATATTTGTGCGGTCTGAGCAGAATGGCGGTGCGGGGAGTTACCGGGGAATCTGGCCGACGCTCAACAGAAAGGCGAGGCTGATGTACTCATGTACAGACAGTTACTGATCTGGTACCATCGGAATTGGAACTCTTCCATTGCTGCTGAAGATGGGGACGGAACGCTTATGGAAGTGTTCCGAGTCCTATGATGTCAATTCCTAATTCAACATTCAACTAGGGTAGCCATACGTCCTCATTTTTGCTGACAGGTTATCATTTTGACCCCGGAGAATACTGTTCTTGAAAGTCGAAAACGTGTTTTTACGGCAACAGCAGTGAGGGCATAACGTCAAAAGACGTGCGTAGCAGTATACGGGCAAACGGCGAAGTACGTCCATAGTTTGACTTTTAATTGAAATATTTCACATGCAGGCAACTGTATGGACATTTTATGTAAAACAAATCCATCATCAGAATAACATACATGGAACAAGATTTGAATGGAATTTAATGTTAGGAGAAATGTCCTCATTTCGGAAGATCATAATACAGAAGTATCTGTATTTTGGAATACCAGAATATGGCAACACTAGACAAAATCAAAAGCCGATTCGTTATCAACATCAAGTGCCTTGCCAGCTGGCGTACGCGTTCATGCATCTCCATAGATCGCAGTCTTTGGCGTTCTGGATTAATTCCCCTGCCGAGTCACGAGTTGTTAATTTTGTAGCGCTCGAGTCGAAGACGAGAGACTCAAGTTCTGATCTCTGCTAAATGTGGCCAACCCAGTCGTCAGGGCACTTGATGAAGAAAACGGGGAGAAGGACGGGAAGCATAAGCTGCAAACAGGAATAATCTTCTTTTTCTTCTCCTCTTCCAGAGAAATTTGACTAAAAAAACATAAGTGAACTTCACAAACGTAACAACGAGGAGATGAGAGTATGTAGATCTCTAAGGGGTGTGTTTGAAAAAGGCCACCCGGTCGAAACGTTACGCTGTGTTGTTTTGTGCCCGTTTTTCTGCTTCCCCATTTTGTTGAGCTTTTTAGTCAAATTTCTCTGGAATTCCTTGTATTAGCTTGACTGCAGTCACCCCCATATTCTCACCATTCTCTTCTTCCACCTTGTACCTCTGTGAAGTGTCGGAGGGGGGGGGGGGTGTAACGTTCCTTACCGAGCTCTGTCTAATAAGATTATTGTTTATTTCTGTAAGGCTGTTCTTAATGCTATCACTCCATTTTTCCGAGGTCTTCCTCTCGCTCTATACCCGTTGTAACGTGTAGTAATGTGTGGTAGATAGTACCAGGGTATTCTAGTTAGGTGTCCAAACCACTTCATTTGTTGTTATTTGATGACCTGTAAGACTGGCTTTACTCCTAGAATTCGTCCGATTTTCGTATTATGTCTTTACTTGAAACTCCTGCAACTTTTCTAAGGCATTTCATCCCTGTTGTCACAGTTGTACGTTCATTAGAATGGAAGTGTTGAAAATTGAACCGGATGTTGTTTCGCCAGGTCAAGTCGGGTCACGTTATCAGACGACAGATCGAGTTCATCAGAAGTGCGGCTTGGTGCGAGGACCCGGTTGCTAGTTGAATGACTTGGCGTTTCTTCTCCAACATGGCACCGGTTGTAAAGAAGTTTGATCTCCTGGTTCTGGGTGGAGGTTCAGGAGGTTTGGCCACAGCAAGGCGAGCTGCAGAGTTCGGAGTTAAAGCTGCTGTTGTGGAGGAAGGACGATGGGGTGGAACTTGCGTAAGTTGGGCTCAAGTTGTACTACTTGTAATGTAAATTAAATATGTAGGCCTAAGTAAAGTTTTTGTAACTTAAATTTCGGCACTCTTCCGAATACTCGATACAAGTCCAAAATTATTCACTGTGAAAAACAGCCCAATATAAACAATATTCTAAGCCTCATCGTAAATAACAGTAACATCAAAAGAGAAAGCTAACTGAGGTACCTGGGTATCATTTTCCATAGAAGATAGTCCTTTGGGGAGGTGTTCCAGCATGTGATCCTGTCGGTGATGGATTATGGACTTGGCATGCTTACCATATCCAAGAGTCTGCCGATGAAACATGAACGCATACAGAATAAAAAAACTATACGGGTAATTCTGGGATGTACAAGAGATACCCCGGTAGTATGTATGCGATACATACTGGCACTGCCTACTGTTGCATATAGGCTTAAAGTTCTACAAGAAAAGTCATATCTCTCAGTAGCTGCAGACAAGAAGCACCTCCTGCATGATGCTTTGGGTAGAGCTAAGGGTCGCAGGCTGAAAAGAGGAAGACCTTGAATGGTGCAAGGGACCGAGTGAACAGTGCAGAGGCACAGATCGATTATTATGATCAGAGAAGAATGGTGCTGCATGGATACCAGGGGATCTGGCAGATGCTCCACGTTCAGCGGAAGGGCAAGACGGATATACAATCAGACAGTTACCGGAGGACGGAGCACAAATAAGTCAAGCTGATCTGGTAAGATGTCAGTACAAGCAAACAGATTAAACAAAAAATATTGAAATTTGAAGACATTCACAGTATCCTAACAGAAGTTACACTGGAGCAGGAACTGCTAGAAGTTTTAGATATCATCACATGATAGATACAGTTAATAGTTGACTTAATATAGTAAAAATGTACTCCAAAAGCTTTCTTGAATAGAAATAGGAAGGGAAGTGGTCACCTTTGTAGAAGAGTCTAACATACACTGGCAAACGATAGGACAACTTGATAAAGTAAAGGACCTTTTTCCACGCCTTCAGACATATAGGGCTAGATCTATATTTGATAGACCTGTCAGCCCTTCAACATTTGCTAAAGTCAAAGTGTCTGTCTCACAACACCAAGATCAAAATATATAAAACATTGAACCAGTCATTTTATATGGCTCTGAAACTTGGAGCACAACTAAAAGAGATGAAGCCTTATTACAGGTTTTCGAAAACAAGAGTCTTACGACGAATCTTTGGACCCATCAAAGTTACAAACAGCGGGAAATGGAGAGTGAGAAGCAACAACGAAATTCATAATCTGTTTAAATCATCTCAGATCACTGGCATCATAAAAGCTAATAGACTGAAATGGTTCGGTGCATATTGAAAGAATGTCAGATGACAGAGAAGTAAAAACTGTATACACCAGGAAGATGAATGATCATAGACCACGAGGCAGACCAAGAAGAAGATGGAGATATAATGTCCAGACAGACCTGCAAATACTTAGTGTCACCAACTGGAAAGAAGGCCAGCCAAAGAGATGAATGGAGGCGAATGATATCTGCAGCAGTGAACCTCAAGGGCTCAGAATGCTGAAGAAAAGAAGTCAGCACTTGGTGGGTGAGATGGTCACCATCAAGCCGGCCACCTTTACTTCCAAAGATTCCACGGAGACCCATTTCCTGTTTGTTGTTGTAATAAATGACTGGTCTGAATTATCACACTTGTGTTTGATTTTACAATCTGTTACAGGTGAATGTTGGTTGTGTACCCAAGAAAGTGATGTACAACACGGCTGTGCATGCAGAGTTTATCAAGGACCACAAGGGATATGGCTTTGATGTTGATGTCAGGGGCTTTGACTGGGGGTCAGTATTCTGCAAGCTTTTACAGCACTTGTCAGGACTAGGTAATCAACCCCCTTCCCTCCCCCCTCTCCCCCAACCTTGATTGAGGTGCTTGTTTGATGATTTGGGGTTGAGTTAATGCAGCTACCGGGTTTCAAATTGGGCACCGTAGCACAGTGATTTCTGTTACAGACATGAGGGAAAGTTAAGGTCATTGTTGTGCATACAAAAAGATACTCGGTATCTCACTTCTGGCGCCAGCACGCTCTGTGCTGGTTTTACTGATCCTTGTGCAAGGGAGATGAGAGTATGTAGATCTCTAAGAGGTATGTTTGAAAAAGGCCGCCCGGTCGAAACGTTACGTTGTGTTGTTTTGTGCCCGTTTTTCTGCTTCCCCATTTTGTTGAGCTTTTTAGTCAAATTTCTCTAGAATTCCTTGTATTAGCTTGACTGCAGTCACCCCCATATTTTCACCATTCTCTTCTTCCACCTTGTACCTCTGTGAAGTGTCGGAAGGGGGGGGGGGTGTAACGTTCCTTACCGAGCTCTGTCTAATAAGATTATTGTTTATTTCTGTAAGGCTGTTCTTAATGCTATCACTCCATTTTTCCGAGGTCTTCCTCTCGCTCTATACCCGTTGTAACGTGTAATGTGTGGTTCGCTTAGGTAGATAGTACCAGGGTATTCTAGTTAGGTGTCCAAACCACTTCATTTGTTGTTATTTGATGACCTGTAAGACATCATGACACTGAGTACCACACAGATAAACAGATTGGAAACAGTTCAAAACAAGACAGTGCATGCTATTCTTGGACACACTAGGGACACCTCCGGAAAATTCATGTGATATTTCTTGGACTTTCCCCGGTACTTTCTTTTTAGCCGACCACTTGAGGTCATGGAACGGTCATATTAGAGGGTGGTAAGAGCGGCTTTTCCGTGGTCTCTGTGCTTTAGCGCGTTTCTTCCAAGGCCAAGGTTTTTGCGCATTTACCTAACCCTAACCAAAACTATACGCTTAATCTACCACCCCCTGAAATATTTGGCTGTCCCGTGACCTGTGGATTTCCCCTGTTTGTGGTCGGCTAATAAGAAAGTACCCTTTTCCCACAGTGGATAACAGATTCAGATGCAAGTTATCCAGGGCTGCTGCTTTCCTCAGGGTGAAATCAGATTCCAGAAACCCACCTCATGAAGAATTGTTCAAACTCAAAATAATAGACTTAGAAGTGGCACTGTAGCCCAGTGATTTCCCATTACAGGCATAAAGGAAAGTTAACATCGTTGTGGTGTGTACAAACCCATCATCCTAGCAGCCTGAGAAGCTTAAGACAAGTACAGAAAACCACAACACTAGGCTACAACCTGGTATTAGAGAGATGACTAAAGAAGAAAGAGGTGAAACGTGGATGTCATGCTGAGAACGCCATCCAACAGATTTGCTGCCTTATTGACCGTAATGTGGCAATTTAATAGGTACCCATGCCTGCTGAGCCATACATTGACACTACAGTCAGTATCACATTTGTCGGAAGCTGCAGACAGCACATTTCTGGGATAGCAGGCACATCAGTCAGATTGCTGATTGATGAGAACTCAGATGAAGGTAATGATACAGTTTATACAGATGGGTCATTAATTTTGGGCAAGCAAAGTGCATGGGCGTTCACAGTGAGCTCAGGGGGGGGGGGGGAACCATCAAAGAGAGGAATGGTGCCTTTACTGTGAAAATAGCAGCCTTGTAATGATGGAAACTGGCTGTAACAAGGGCATTAGCATGGCTGGGTACTCAAGAGTTCACACATGCATGCATACTGCTCATTGAATATGCTAAAGAAAATCCAGGCTTTGTTAAGAATAGAAGGCATCACTGAGCACTTTACGGTTGACTGGCTTAACTTTTTTTTTCTTTGTGCTGGGTCATATGGGTGATCAAAGCAATGAGTTTACAGAATATTTTGCAGACACTGTGGTTGCTTTGTCTAACCTGGTACTAGATAGAATCAATGTCATTAGTGCCATGAGCAGCACATAATACTATAGATCTGTCTGGAGAGCTGTGACGATAACCCCCACTATTCACTTCTTTTATGAACTCAAATCTACCTCTCTTTGTATGCAACCCTGCCACTCCACTGCATTGGGTTGACCTCAGGATCTTTTTATTGGTAAGTAAGTATACTATTCAGTATGCCATCTCAGCTGTTGACACTAGATTGTCTAATGAACAGTTATAGTATGCATCTTTAAATAATACTTATTTGGGTGTACTTTTAGAGCTGTAAAGAAAAGTAGAGACGCCTACATCAAGAGACTGAATGGTATCTATGAATCAAACCTGGAGAAGGTAAGGGATTGTAGAATAATAGTTGTTATTGTTGTTAATTGTACGATTTAGATTTCTTCGACATAGAAGTTTTGTATTGTATATTTAGATGAATCCTGGGTTAATGTTCACCATACCTGTGCTAAAGAATGGCAATCAGTAAACGGTGAACAGTAAAGGAACATTCCGAGCAGCAACGGCCAGCGCATTATACTCACTTGTGCAGGAAGGTGACATTCTGGTGACAGTGATGCAGCAAAGAATGACCATGGAATCTGACCGATGCTTGGCACTCAGAGGAAAAGCAAGATAAGAATATAATCAGACTGCTACTGGTACCATTGATATTGAAACTCTGCACTGGCTGCTGAAAATAGGGATGGAGCGCTTATGGGATTGCCCTGAGTGCTGTGATGTCAATTCTTGACTCAGCTGAACTCAAATCAAATGCCTGCAGAAGTCAGATGTGTCGGCCAAGAAGGCACAAATATCGCATCCATGTTGTAAATGGGCACAAAACGTTTACGTCTTCGGATAAAAGCAAAAGAAGAAGTAGAAGATACCTTCTTGACAGCATTTTTCAGTGTGATGACTTGTTATTGTGTGGAAGGTAATCACTGTTGTTATTTCTCATACCACAGTCCAATGTGGAGAAAATTGTTGGCCATGCAGCATTTATTGACAGTCAGACTGTAGATGTGAGTGGGCAGAAGTACACGGCTGACCACATCATAATTGCTACAGGTGGCCGGCCTGTGGTTCCAGATCTTCCCGGTAAGTTTCATCTCATTTTACTAGACCGGGTAGCATTTTAAAAAATGCATTTTTATTCTGTATTTGTCCTGTTACGCGCCTCGCTTTAGAAAAATCACCTCATCCACAGCCTTGGCGTTCTTAGTCCAGGTGGTATCAATATCCAACTTACCTTCATCTAAACAGTTTTACTCTTTTCACATTTTCATCGCCGAACATTTGGATCTCAAAGCGTGAGCTGGATGCTCCGGTTATATGGTATTTACGTACACCGGAGCTTAGCTGTCAACACAACCCGATCACACAATAACAAATGACAACTGGACCCGCTTAAGGCTCCACACAACCTTTCACACACATATCCATTACATGACTAACCCGTTCATATTACAGGAAGACAACTATAAGACCACTATGGCCACACACGGAAAATTTTCACATTTCGGAACTATTCAAATTCAAAAACTGTTTTCAGTACTTTTTGGCAAAATAAAATACTCACAATTTTGAAACTATAAATGGTGGTCCAAAGGACGTTGTGTGGAAAAGCTCGCTCTCCTACGAGATACGCCTGGCCAAATCAGAGAGAGATGACACCAAGAGGAGACACCAGATGAGAAAAGGAAAGAAACGAACAGATAACAACGGTGCAGGACGAATAGTCGGAACCGGATGAAAGCATCAAGCCCAGAAATGGCGCAATACTAGAATCTAGTCACGAAAGTGACGCAAATAACCCAGACCACAAATATAGGCGGAGACTGTTAGCAGCCTCGGCTAGCTAGCAGCAGTCTGAAAGTGGTCGACCTTTTCATTTTTTTCTCAAAAGGACATGGACTTGGACTTTCACATTTTAAATGTTCTTTTCTTTTATTTCAATTATTACTTTATTCTATCTCTTATCAGTATCATTTATGTATCATTACCATTTGTATTTCTTTTATTCCCACTAATATATTATTATTAAAAATATTACTTTTTTTTTTTTGCGACTATATTTTTTTAGCCATCGTTTATTTTATTTCATTTATTCCACATCATATTTTTTGTTTAAATGTTGCTCACGTCAACCCTTAGAGATCTGTATACTCTCCTCTCCTCGTTGTTGTTTTTGTGTAGTTTGACAAAGGCCGCCCGGCCAAAACGTCATTTGTTTTATGCACGTTTTTCTGCTTCCCCATTTTGAAAAGCTTTTTAGTCAAATTTCTCTGGAATTTCCTGTATTAGCTTGACTGCATTGACTGCGGTCACCCCCATATTTTCACCATGCTTATATATCGAGGGGGGGGGGGGGGGGGTGAGAGGTAGGAGGATGAGAGAAAGTTGGCTCTGCATAAAGAAAAAAGGGGGGGGGGGGGGGAGAAAAGATTTACGCTTACAGAAAGGGAGAAATTTAAGAGTGAGAGAATTTGAAAGTTATGAAAAGAGAAGACAGCACATTGATGTGTTATCAGCGGTAACTTATCTTTCCTCAGGAGCTGAACATGGAATAACCAGTGATGGCTTTTTTGAACTGGAAGACCTGCCAGAGTGAGATTTAAGTTTATGTTTCTTTTAGTTTTTGTTCACTTATGGGATGTTTGTTAGGGCATAGATAAACATAGAGTAGAGTATAATAGGACAGCCCGACATTAATACCATATGGTATTTACAGTGCAGACATGATAAGGAGAACTCACCATGTACCTAAGAAATGGTTCTTCTTATCAGAAATCCCTCTTATCCAGACAAGTGTTCAAGCAAGGCAAATTGCAAGGGATAAACAGATTGTTCTTCACAACAGAAATGCGGCATATCTGAGATCGCCTTAAGTGGTCTGCACTGTGGTTTGTTTATTATTTGCTCAGCAGTACAGTCTATCGACTGTTAACTAAATTGAAACTGTAAACACAGGAGCTGTTTTCGTCTCATGTAGTTTCAGTGGCTGGGAAAACCTCTGACATAACAACAAAATAATGAGAGCCATTTTGTTTTCAGATGTACACTCTAAACGAGAGGTTAATTTTAATGAACTGTCTCTAATTCTGATGTTTTTGTAAGACTTAATGTGGATAGGGGTGTAATTTGGGTGGGGGAGTAAGGGGGGATTGACATCTGGTATATGGATTATTGGGTCACTGAGCTGCTTGCTTGCTTGTTGTACCCCACTAGGACATTACACAAGCGATAAACACCTGGTGACACAAAGTGCCACCATGCTGATGAGGATCACTCGTGGAGAGGTCCCAGAAACCCCTTTCAGCCGTTATGGCCACAATTGTGGCCCAGCTATATTCAGGGCCCCCGACATAAGCCAGGGTGGGGCTTCAAATAACGAAAAATTGCATCCCACAGGGAGATGACTAGGATGATGGGTCACTGAGATGTCAGACTTTTATTTGGCAGACCCACAACCCCATAACAACAACAGCAACAGAAAAAGAAAATCAGTAAAATAAAAAAAAATTGTGGGAGCCAGATTTCTTCAGTATGCTTTGCTGGTATGTAAAAGCATAGAGACCTACTCTTTTTAAGTGTAGGCGTCATTTAATTTTGAAATTGAGTGCATTTATATTTGTAATAATCAGTTATTTTATTTTTTCAGTTTAATTTTGAATAAAAAAAAAAAAATTAAATATTTTTGTAACGAAACTATTTATGAAAAAACTTAGGAATTTTTTTTGTTGGTTTTCATGTGCGGTTTATATACTTACAGTTAAAAACCGAACTACTGACCAGCACCTGACGAGATACAGCAAAATTATGTTTGTGAATCTGTTCTCAGCAGGTGTGTCTCACTTGTGAATGTTTTACAGGAAAGTTGTGGTTGTTGGTGCTGGATACATCGCTGTTGAGTTGGCTGGCATCTTTGGAGCTTTAGGAGTGGACACTTCACTGCTTATACGTTATGATCAGGTATAGATTGCTTCCGTAAATATGTTTGCCAGGGTTTATAGTGCTCGTACAGTGGAAACTTCACTAAGTGTACAGTATGACCAAATTTGTGTCGCATCCATTAGTATATGTATATTTGACAACATAGTACTCATGGAGTGCATATTTCACTAAGTATATGAATGATATAATTGGATAAAATGCATCAGTGACATTTTTATATTCTTAAGTAGATGCGACACATTTTATAGGTAATAATGCTATATATATATTTGTCATGTGTATGAGCCTAGATATATCGAGACAGCCAACCTGCTAGGGGTTTGACTTTTGTAGCTACTGCAAACAGGTCTTCGCCAAAACTGTACGGTTTAATTTTGTCCATAGGTTCTGCGTACATTTGACGGCATGATCAGCAAAACAGTCACGGAAAACCTGGAGACTGGCGGTGTGAAAGTTGTCAGGAGAACACAGGTGAAACATTGTGAATCCCTTTAGTTCATATTGTGCGTTACAGTGTGCTTAACTCTTTCATTACCAAGCAGCTCACCATGTTTCTTGGTCACTCCAGAGATAGTATCATGTTCTTGCTGTCGTCTATCACAGACAGTGCTGATATTAGTCTTTGCAGCAGTGGTTTTCAACCTTTTTCACATCCCCCTGCCCCTGGAATTAATATCAAGACCCCCTTCCCCCAATCCTCATCTCCCTTAACTTAATCTATAATCAAATGCACATGTTATCCTTCTAATTAGATTTTAAGAGTAGATGTACGAATTGCTCATGTAAACAATCAATCCCTTGCTGTTTGATTTAAAATATTTTATTAATTAGTAAACTGGAAAACAAATGTTAATATAACAGATTACTACACCTACAAATGCCACAAACCAAGAAACTTTAGACAGTATGATTTCCAAGAGAAGATGGAAATGGCTTGGCCACGTTATGAGAATGACTTCTGATATACCTGCCAAAACAGCTCTCACATGGACACCAGAGGGAAAGAGAAAACAGGCAAATTTGAAGTTAAGACTTTCAGGCTTGCAGATGCTCGACAGCCGCCACCGCTCCTCCCAGGTAGCAAATAATTAAAATGTTTCATTCTTCTAGGTGTATTGGGTAAACCGAGGCAGCACATATATCTGTAGATCATTTGGCACTCAGTATGTTTTCTATCAATGTTTGTTAGTGTAGATCATTTGGCACTCAGTATGTTTTCTATCAATGTTTGTTAGTTAGCTAATCGACAGATTATCATTTTTGCACATCAGACAAGCCCATAAGCACTAGGATCCCATCTTTAGTTGTGTCCCTCAGCGTGTGACAACTGATAGCACCAGTTCTTTGTTGGTTTACTATTCTTCTTTGGCTACGTCTGTAGTGTTCATGTCTGGCAAATACCTCTTTTGACCTGAAGTTCGTGCAGTGTTTTGAATGTTGTAGACTCAGCATTGTCTCCTGGATCATTTACTTGACCTACCTCCTTGAGAGCATGGAGAACATCATCCCGGTCCATTGCCTGTCCTGTATCTACCATAGCCCTACCAGCTAGCCAAATCCTCAATGACTCCAGCCATTGCCTGTCCTGTATCTACCATAGCCCTACCAGCTAGCCAAATCCTCAATGACTCCAACCATTGTCTGTCCTGTATCTACCATAGCCCTACCAGCTAGCCAAATCCTCAATGACTCCAGCCATTGCCTGTCCTGTATCTACCATAGCCCTACCAGCTAGCCAAATCCTCAATGACTCCAACCATTGTCTGTCCTGTACCTACCATAGCCCTACCAGCTAGCCAAATCCTCAATGACTCCAGCCATTGTCTTCGAAGCCATCCTGTCTCAGTATTCCTAAGCATGCTCGTGGAATTATCTGTCAGTGTTGACTGCCTTTACTTCCCATAACCTTTCTTGAGAGTGAGTCAGCTTTGAGACTGTATGAGTAACCAGTTGTTTTCCTCTGTGCCTTTATATAACATGTCTCTGTGTATTTACATTGTTACCCATGTGTTTCTTTAAGCAGAATCTTTGCCTTTCTTTTTCTCCCACCCACCCACCTGTCTAGGTGTCTAATGTAGTCAAGGAAGAAGACGGAACTTTAACCCTGGCTACAAACTCGGGAATTATTGATAAAGTTGACTGCCTGCTGTGGGCCATCGGTCGAGTGCCTAACTCTGATAACATTGGATTGGATAGAGTGGTGAGTTCATCTGTTTACAACCTTTTCAATTTCAACACTTGTTCCAGGAGGGTTCTGGAGTCCCATTGTGGGGGGGGGGGGGGAACAGCCCCACTTCTCTTTAACAAATGCATCGTAAAGGGCAACTGATGAAACAACTCTCTCTCACTCTCCTCAGAGACACCATGAACTAAGGGCTATCATAAAATGTAAAGTGAAGGTCCCTTTACATGTCAGTGGAACATCATGCAAATGAGGCTTGACTCTTATTTTTTTATGGACCAAACAACCTTCGATGGGTGGCATGGTCAGCATCATGTTGGCCACATTTACTTCTCAGGACTCTGCCTGGTACCAGTTTAGGGCTGGGTTGACGTGGGAGCCAAGGCCACATTTACTTCTCAGGACTCTGCCTGGTACCAGTTTAGGGCTGGGTTGACGTGGGAGCCAAGGCCACATTTACTTCTCAGGACTCTGCCTGGTACCAGTTTAGGGCTGGGTTGACGTGGGAGCCAAGGTCACATTTGAAAGAAAATTTAGCACCATGCAGATTTGAACCCATGACCTTTGGATCTAATGCAAGCATCAAGCCACTGCACCACGACAGCTATCATAGGTCTGAATCAAACTAGCAAGATGATCTCAGATTTTGTAGCCAATGAGATGCAGTGATGGGAAAACTTGACTTGGAAAGACCTTTGCACTCGTGAGCTTATCCTTAAATCCGTAGCAAATGGTGTTCACAAAAGTGTATCCAACTAATTTGAATAATTAATTCTAAATGCCCACAGTATGGGGTTCCTACTAAATAACAGTATCAGTTCAAATCTCCAGCAGACGAGAATGCTGCTTAATGACACTTGTGTTATAATGTCTTTACTCATGGAGGGAGTATCAGACAGGACCACTTGTCTCATGCATAGTGGATAGTATAGGATAATGTATGAGCATGTGTTTATGAGAGTATGTATGTGCATGCTTTGTGTATTTCAGTTTATGTTCATGTTATGTATATTGTTACACGAGCATAACATGTGTTATACACAAAATACAATTACTGTATGAAAGATAATTTGTTTGAAGGGGGAATGTAAGACAGGTCTGCGTTTCTAATTTGTAACACTTTGAAAATACAAGTTTGTTTGTTCATAGTTCTTAAAATAAACAAATGGTCTGTCTGTGCATATTCCAACATGAAATGCTTTAGTGAAATGGTTCGACCACCAAGTGAGAATGAATACGGTGATGACGGCAGCGAGAGCGTACAACATTATAATTGAAACACCAAGAGGCAGAGAAGACGATGGATTGAAGGAGTCACTGACAGCCAGAGAGTTCACTATCTCACAGCATTGCAAGCAAGTGAGTGCGTCCAGGCAGGGCTATCTGTCTGTTAAACTGTGACATCTAAACTGCGGCACAAAACAGATACTGACACCCAAAAAAAAAAAAAAAAAGAATAAGAAGTGAAAAAAATTGGCTTTTTTTTTCATTCCTCTGTGTTTATTGGGTATACAGTTTCCTTTCATGTATTTGTAGACAGTCCGTGCTCAATAGATGATGTGAGAGATTAGCTGTACGTAACATTTTAAAGTCTGCTTTATGCCTCAGTGGAGGGGAATTAGTTGTGCTGTGTGCCCATGTGTGTCAGTGTGTTTTGTATGGAAACAAGTCAGTGAGTGTGAACACAGCAAGTAAATGAATGAGGGGGGAGAGAGAGTGATAACAGAGAGAGAGAGAGAGAGAGATAGAAAGAGAGTGATAAGTGAGAGAGAGAGGGATAACAGAGTGAGAGATAGAGAGTGATAAGTAAGAGAGAGAGAGAGTGTTAAGAGAGAGAGAGAGAGAGCACGATTGAGTTGGAGAGAGATCATTTGATTGTATTACTTTTTTTTAAAAATCGATCACAGGGAGTGAGTGTGGACAAGCACCAGAATATAGAAGTGGATGAATACCAGAACACCAACATCAAAGGGATCTATGCCTTGGGAGATGTGTGTGGCAGGTACCTACTGACCCCAGGTCAGTGAGAGTTCTGTTGACATTGGTCATGTCTGTTATGTCCCTGTCTAGTTGCTACATTAATACTTTAGTTTATTCAACTGGACAATACTGCCACAGTTAATCAATCCCAGCTTCACAGACAATGGATCACCATATAGATGCACTTTATTTTCAAAGGGTTAAGAACTGGGCACGCAGGCGGTCTTACATTCTGCCCCTTGTCGCCCCACTTATCACATACATCAAGCCCCTTGCCATTTTTCTGAATCTGCAGTTCACAATTCAAACCACATTGTATGCTGTTGAAAAGCATTCCAAATGTAATCTGCAGCTCACAGTGTCATGCCCTGCACTTAACTTTGTAGCGGGGTGACGGAATATATACCTTTGGTCCACATATGAGGGGAAAATGCAACAGCTAATCTTGGCTAGATGCAAGTAACATGCCAAAACTAAAACAGTTGGCCTGTCTATCCACTATATTGGACCTACAGTTAATTCATTTGGATAATATTGATGTAGTTAATTTAGTTGAATAATACATGTATAGTTAATTTACTTGAAAAATGATCTATAGTTAATGTAGTTGAATATATATCCACAGTTACCCCCCTCCCCCCCCCCCCCCCCCCCCCCCCAAATAAAGTGTTAGCTGAAGGCAGAAATGGCAGTTGGGGGAAGGGAGGGGGGGAGGGGTCTGCATTGGCAGTACTTGAATAACACTGCTACAGTAGTTTCAGTTGGATATTTACTGTTATACAGTGCAGACCTAACAAGGAAACTCAGTAGTGACCCAACAAATAGTTCTTATCAGAAAAAGAGAGAGAGAGAGAGAGAGAGAAGAGGAAGAAGAATGGAAGATCCATCCATCGAAAAGGAAATCATGTCACATGAATTTGTTTTTGTTAGTGAAAGGAATACATATTGTATCTTTGCCATGGTTGAATGCATCACAGCCGGGACCGTCTCCAAGATGAACAAGAATACGACTATGATGAGGGCTGTCTTGTTTCATGTTTTGTCTGTATTGTGAGAAAACCTGGTAATAGTGTAAATATAATGTTCTTTCCCTGGAACTTCCAGTGCAAAAGTAATGGAAAATGAAATTCATATGAAAAAGATCATTAGAGGCAGGTAAATAAAATGAGGGAGGGCCTGCAAGCGGAACATTTCAGAACACTGAGCTCGCATACAGGAGACTTGGGTTTGAATCCTCAGTATGGCTGCAGATTTTTTCTGTCAGGAACAAAAATAAAATCTTAGCCTGCGCAGTCTGTGGCGACAGCACTTGCCACTTTGCCCTAAATCCTAATTTTCAAAGGTCCCCCTGCCTATGTGCAAGAAGTGGTAATAACAAACAGGCAGCAAACGGCAGTTGTTAAAAAAAAAACCTGGGTAGAACATAGCAGGGGTGGTAGGAGATTATGCAGAATTTGTGAGTGTGGCATGAGTGAGTTGAGGGCCTATGCTCCGGTTGTTGACAGTTGTTTCTCTTGTTGAGAAAAAAAAGTGTTCTTTTCCTGTGCTGACTCTTAGAAGGATGGTTGGTATTTTGTATTGTGGTTTACAGCTAGGCTGCTGTATTTGCACCTTTCAGCCAAACACGTCCAATTTCAGCAGGCACATTATTAATAGGACATGCTTGAGGCTGCGAAGCTACACGGAAAGGAAGTACACACGACTGCAAAATATTGTTTTTCTGTTCATTTAACTCCCTGTGTGGGTTCTGGGGCCTCTGTGGGGGAACCCCCCCCTTTCCCAAAGAATATACCCCCTGCCCCTGGAAGAAGCATGTTGTAAAAGTCGGCTAATAAGGGGTGCTTCCTTCAGAGTCAAAATGCATATGCTAAGAGGTGAGGAACCAACAGTCTGCATACAGATAAGTCAGATTTGTAAAACAGATGTGCATGCAAAGCTCCAGTTTTGGAACAAGACTCAAGTATAAATGTGGACGAACAACCAGTACATTCTGCCTGAGTTTACAGTCTGTGAAAGCAAAGAAGAAGAAAAAGACACACTCAGCAGGAGAAGATGGATGAGAATGTAATACCCACCAGATGTTTGTAAAATGAGAATCTTGATGAAATTGTTGTTGTTTCCACAGTGGCTATTGCAGCAGGGAGGAGGCTGGCTCACAGATTGTTTGATAACAAGGAAAACTGGAAGCTGGACTACAACAACATTCCTACTGTGGTGTTCTCACATCCACCTGTAGGCACTGTTGGCCTCACCGAAGGTGGGTGATCACATAAATGTAGTGTGGATCCCAGTAGGAGCACACACCTGAGATAACTGAGTCACAGAGTAGATATTCTTGTAGATCAGGGCTAGAGTCACAGAGTAGATATTCCTGTAGATCAGGGCTATAGTCGCAGAGTAGATTTTTCTGTAGATCAGGGCTAAAGTCACAGAGTAGATATTTCTGTAGATCAGGGCTAGAGTCACAGAGTAGATATTTCTGTAGATCAGGGCTAGAGTCACAGAGTAGATATTTCTGTAGATCAGGGCTAGAGTCACAGAGTAGATATTCCTGTAGATCAGGGCTAGAGTCACAGAGTAGATATTCCTAGATCAGGGCTAGAGTCACAGAGTGGATATTACTGTAGATCAGGGCTAGAGTCACAGAGTAGATATTCCTGTAGATCTGGGCTAGAGTCACAGAGTAGATATTCCTAGATCAGGGCTAGAGTCACAGAGTAGATATTCTTGTAGATCAGGGCTAGAGTCACAGAGTAGATATTCCTAGATCAGGGCTAGAGTCACAGAGTGGATATTACTGTAGATCAGGGCTAGAGTCACAGAGTAGATATTCCTGTAGATCTGGGCTAGAGTCACAGAGTAGATATTCCTAGATCAGGGCTAGAGTCACAGAGTGGATATTCTTGTAGATCAGGGCTAGAGTCACAGAGTAGATATTCCTAGATCAGGGCTAGAGTCACAGAGTGGATATTACTGTAGATCAGGGCTAGAGTCACAGAGTAGATATTCTTGTAAATCAGGGCTGTTCAACTAAGTTTACCCAGGGAGACAATATTTCCAAAATGGTGATCGTCACGGTCCAAAGACCTGAGCTCTTCTGGAGTAGAAAAAATATGAATACAATACAACTGGCAGTGATTCGCGGGCCACTTGCTAGGCCTCTGAGGGCCATATCTGGCCTGCGGGCTGACAGTTGAATAGCTCTGCTGTAGTTGTCCTGTAGAAGTTTGCTGGAGGTTTCCTATCTGGTCACTTGTGTTGCTTTCATCATCCTGTTATACATCACATTGCTCGCAGTCTAATCCTTTGTTATGTTCTGTCCAATCCTTTTGATTGTGTTGCTTTAGTCAGTTTTGATTAAATGTATTTGTGGTTTTTATACCATCTTTCTGGCTGGCTCTGCACAACTTGGTGGAATACTGATACATGATAAGACAGACGTGGTTAGTGCCTTGTGGGAGAGCGTGTACAGTGAGGAGGAGCAGATGGATCACCACAGTCTGGTGAGATTGATGCAGTTGGGGGTGACGAAAGGTTCTGGCAGATGCTCGAGGCTCAGAGGAAAGGCAAGACGGACGTTTAATCAGAATTCTACTGGCACCATTAGTGTTGGAACTCTTCGCTGGCTGCTGAAGATGGGGACAGAGCGCTTATGGGAATGCCCTGAGTGCTGTGATGTTGGTTCTTGAATCAAATCAAATCAAATACGATCTTTCTAGTAGTGTATCAGAAATGTTGAGTATTGGAACACACAAGGACACAGAAATAAAGGCAGTCCTAAAAAACACGCACACACACACACACACAAAATGGAGCTAGAGAAAGAAATTAAAATGATGGGGAGGACATGGGGCGAGCTGTATGTATGCCAGTAGAACCTTAACATTATTTTTAGTTCAGGGAGTTTGCGTTTTGGACATAATTCATTCAAGTTTAAGTCCTAGAAGATCATCGCTGATGCCTGTTTGAAGCAATAATGATGACAACAAAAGCACGGGTATATTGCATTGACAGGTTCCACATACACAGTACACTGTGGGTAACTTGTGTTGCTGGGTTTGCCTGACTGAACTTAACTCTTTCAGTCCCGTGAGATCTTGGAGATGCCTAACAAGCACTTAGCCACAAGCAGTAAAGCATGTATGCATTACTTTCACTGGGGCAGCATATTACATTGATCATAAAATAAACTATGTTGAATTTTAAGGTAACTGGTCAAATGTTTGTCGTAAATATCTGGTCACCACGAGCACTTGTTGTTTAGGACACATGGGAAGTAGCTGATCACATGTGATGCATCCTCGATGTGGGTTGTGGGGCAAACAAGAATAGACCCAGTGCCTCCCTAGCAAGCATGTCGTAAGAGTCAATTAATTGTGTGCTTTCTTTGAGGTCAGAGTGCATCTGCCTGAGAGGCAAGGAACCAACAATCTGCATGCAGGTAAATCATATCTGTAAAACTGATGTGCACTCTACACTCCGGCAGAAAGTTCTGGTTGTTTGACCACTCTGGACAATAGTCTTGTTCCAAAATCTGAGTGTAGAGTGCACATCCGTTTTACAGATCTGACTTACTTGTATGCAGATTGTTGGTTCCTTGCCTCTCAGGCAGATGCACTTACAAGAAGATATGTGATGCACTGGTTCAGACAGAAAGAGTTAAGATGTCCCAATATACAAAACATGTTGACTCGTCCGCCCGAGTAATATCCAGTATATATGATGCCTTGTTTGGGACTAAAAGAGTTCACCAGAATTTCAAATTTGATTGTGCATCAACTTCTTTCACAGAGGAGGCCCAAAGAAAGTACGGGCAGGACAAGCTGAAGATCTACACATCCAATTTTGTGCCCATGTATTACTCTGTTCTTGAGCACAAAATGAGGTGCAATATGAAGCTGATCTGTGTTCTGCCTGATGAGAAGGTAATTCTGTCTTTGACTTCATTGTTTGAAAATTATTTGTTTTTTTTTTTATATCAGCATTTATGGTTTAAGTGTTAGGAACGCGCTTCTTAATGCTGGGGTACTGGATTTGATCCCAGCAGCAGGCATTTTGACAGCAGACTGCTTTGCTCTGGTTTTGACATTCATTGGTATCAAGAGCTGATCGTCAAAAAAAGCAGTGGCAAACTACTGATCTAAAGTAAAATCACATCAGCCAAAAAATTATGGTGTTGGTTGGGCAGTGTATTTTAAAGGTTACGCAAATAACTTTTTTGTTTTATGAAAGGGGGGGGGGGGGGGGGGGGTTCTCCATGGTGAAGTGGTCAGACAGTTTGCCTTGAAGGTTGTGGATTTGTTTCACAGTGTCTTCACTTCATGAGTATCATTTTTACAGAGAACCTGTGGGTTGTCGCCAGAGGTAGGTATCCTCATGCTTTGTTGAATGGGCTAGCCTTTCAGCAGAGAGAGAGAGAGACCAAACCTTCTGGGATATAACCTAGGGCAATGAAGTCGCTCCTGTCAGCATCAAATTGTATATGTTGTATTCAGTCACCTGCAGATGCAACCACTGGTAACACTGTAGCTTACAGGCTACTCCTGTAGATGCAACCACTGGTAACAATGTAGCTTACAGGCTACTCCTGTAGATGCAACCACTGGTAACACTGTAGCTTACAGGCTACTCCTGTAGATGCAACCACTGGTAACACTGTAGTTTACAGGCTACTCCTGTAGATGCAACCACTGGTAACACTGTAGTTTACATGCTACTCCTGTAGATGCAACCACTGGTAACACTGTAGCTTACAGGCTACTCCTGTAGATGCAACCACTGGTAACACTGTAGCTTACAGGCTACTCCTGTAGATGCAACCACTGGTAACACTGTAGCTTACAGGGTACTCCTGTAGATGCAACCACTGGTAACACTGTAGCTTACAGGCTACTCCTGTAGATGCAACCACTGGTAACACTGTAGTTTACAGGCTACTCCTGTAGATGCAACCACTGGTAACACTGTAGCTTACAGGCAACTCCTGTAGATGCAACCACTGGTAACACTGTAGCTTACAGGCTACTCCTGTAGATGCAAACACTGGTAACACTGTAGCTTACAGGCTACTCCTGTAGATGCAACCACTGGTAACACTGTAGTTTACAGGCTACTCCTGTAGATGCAACCACTGGTAACACTGTAGCTTACAGGCTACTCCTGTAGATGCAACCACTGGTAACACTGTAGTTTACATGCTACTCCTGTAGATGCAACCACTGGTAACACTGTAACCTACAGGCTACTCCTGTAGATGCAACCACTGGTAATACTGTAGCTTAACAGGCTACTCTTGTAGATGCAACCACTGGTAACACTGTAACTTACAGGCTACTCCTGTAGATGCAACCACTGGTAACACTGTAGCTTACAGGCTACTCCTGTAGATGCAACCACTGGTAACACTGATTCTTACAGGCTACTCCTGTAGATGCAACCACTGGTAACACTGTAACTTACAGGCTACTCCTGTAGATGCAACCACTGGTAACACTGTAACTTACAGGCTACTCCTGTAGATGCAACCACTGGTAACACTGATTCTTACAGGCTACTCCTGTAGATGCAACCACTGGTAACACTGTAGCTTACAGGCTACTCCTGTAGATGCAACCACTGGTAACACTGTAGCTTACAGGCTACTCCTGTAGATGCAACCACTGGTAACACTGTAGCTTACAGGCTACTCTGTAGATGCAACCACTGGTAACACTGTAGCTTACAGGCTACTCCTGTAGATGCAACCACTGGTAACACTGTAGCTTACAGTGGTGGGGGTGGCTGTGAAATATGGCATCGATGATAAGATGATTCTGTTTTTTCATAGTTTTTTCATAGTATATTCGGCCTCCTGTGTAAAAAGTTAAGCGCCCTTTCCACACCTTCAGGTGTATTGGGCATATAGGGCTAGACCTATATTTTATAGACCAATCAGCACTCGGTCGGTGATGTGGCCAATCTATCTGTCTGATGTTTCCCAGCACGACCTGGAGAAAATATCCAAAGGACGCTGTCACATGTCTAAGTGTGCTAGATACAAGGTGGTATTAATAACCTCGGATATTTCATGGTTTGTGGGGATGACCTCTTTCTATTACTTTGTATGCATGTCTCTCTCTCTGCAGGTGGTTGGTCTACACATGGTTGGCCAAGGTTGCGACGAGATGCTGCAAGGTTTTGGTGTGGCTATCAAAATGGGCGCCACAAAGGCACAATTTGACGACTGTGTGGCCATACACCCGACATCAGCGGAGGAGTTGGTGACCATGCGATGAAAGGAATGTTAGCTTTTAGCTATATCTGCAGCTGCACATGAGAAGAACACATTGTTAATTCTGCAGCCAGTTTTTGTTTTCAAAGAAATTTTTTTTTATGGAGGGTTCAATGCAAGTACTTATTTATCCGATTGCAGAGCTACATTTTGTTATTAAAAGAAAAAATGATCTTCTGAACTACTCTATTGCTGTGTGTTTACTCTCTGATACTCCACCCTGAGAGGCAAGGAACCAACAATCTGCATACAAATAAGTCAGATCTGTAAAATGGATGTGCACGCAACACTCAGGTTCTGGAACAGGACTACAGTCTAGACGTGGATGAACACCCAGAACTTTCCGCTGGAGTTAACAGCTGGTGAACGAGAAGGAGAAGAATATAAGCCACCTGCTCACCAAAGCGCTGTCTGGTGCATTGTAGTCACACCCACTATTTGTCATTGGGTCGTGCATCAGGCCTCAGTCACAACCTCTACTGGCCAGAATTCTCACAGTACCGTAAGTACATTGTTGCCAAACTGGCATCTTTACACTCCATCTTTAGTTGTCTTAGTCGAGGTTTCGAACTCACTGCAATCGGGCTCACCCCCATACCAGCTCCGTTCCTGTGCCAGTGAAAATCAAATCAAATATCCCTCACGGTCTCATTTGAAAAACTGGTGAACAAACAATCAGTCCCGGAACAATCCAGAAATATGTGCACGCAGTAAATGCTGTAATTGCCTCAAGCACACAGAATAAGAACATATGTCATGGATTTTCATTGTATTAAAAAAAAAAAAAAAGTTACATTCTCATTTTATATTTATTATTTATAATAAGATGCTTATTTCAAATCTGCAAAGCTCATCACATAATGCGTTTCAGAAATCATGTTTATCTGACATTTTCAGTATATATTGTGTAATCTGTTGTCATTATTATTCAGTCATGTGATTTATCTAATAAAGTTTCTATTCAGTATGTGTAACATATAGTGTTGTTTTCATAACTGTCTGATTAATGCAGTCTTTGCTTGTTTGTTAAGGTGAGAAAGAGAATTCTCTTCGGCTATAAATCCTATTCTGATATATGGAAGTGAATCATGGACAATTGCCGATTAGTGAAAAATTATGTGGAAGCGGCAAAGATGTGGTTTTATAGACGGAATATGAGAATACCCTGGACAGATAAAAAGAGTAATAAGGATATTTAACAAAGAAAACTGATTTCCCGCTTCATAAAGAGAGAGTATACGTTCTTTGTTCATTTCATGAGGCAAAAAACTAAAGTGCACTGTGGTGGAGGGGGAAAAAAAAGCAGCAAAGAGAGAGGTCAAGAGATAAAATGCCAAACAATTTGACATTATGGTATGGAGGATCTTCTGTGTCAGAACTGACTGAAAGTACATAAGAAGGTTGTGGATAAACGTGCCTACCAACGCCACACCGCATGGACTATAACAAAAAATGTAAGGTTTACATTTTTTAAAAAAAAAAATAAGCAGCTGGCCGAGAGGTTAAGAACACTAGGCTCTCATGCAGAAGATCCAGGTTAGAAACCTGGGTAAAGTAATGTAATTTTTTTTTTATCCATTGGGGCAAAAATAAAATCCTAACCTACAGTCCACGGCAACTGCACTATCCAAGTGGGTCCTAAATCTGTGTAATGAATGGGTTTGTATTTCTACTCGTTGTCTAGGCGGTGTTCATGCGTGTGTGGTGGATGATATTATCACACGCTTCACGTTACACACCTGGCACAAGCCGACAACCGATGCAAGCTTACGAGACATGACTTATTGACGTATTAAAACTTACGACAAACAGAATCGTCCAGTCGATGTCTAATTGAACCGCTTTCGTACACAAACACGCAGCCTTTAACGAACAGTCTTCTGCAGGCATTCAAGCAACGATGGGTCCCATGGATCAACACTGACTTTGTACATCTCACACGCTGGCTATGGTCGTAGCTTAACACTTGGCAGGTCTCCTTTCTCCTCAGGCACTCACGTAGCATTCGCACATTCAGTCGCTGTCCTCTCGCTCCAAACGGTCGACACAAACTAAACTTGACCAGAGTTTAAAGTCTGACTTACCACGGGCTCCTTTCACGTACAACACGTCTAGGTCCTTTACTTTTCCCGTGGCGACCTTGGGTCCATCTCGTGGTCCCCGTTAACAGTGGTTAGTCACCTATCTCCAGATTCTCGTTTAATCCAAGTATCTGGACTATCTCGGTGTTTTCGGTCAGCTTTGGGCCTTCCCCCCAACCATCCTAAACTGGGTCGAAAATATCCCCCATAACAATCTGGTACCGTCAAATGGCAGGGAAAAGCTGTTGCAGCCATATCTAATAATTATTAACCAACATTTCAGTCCATGGATCAGCAACAGAAGGCTTGCTCCTTGATCATAACAGTACTGGGTGGGCTGTTAAGAAAAATTAGAAACACTGGAAACAATTTCTTTCTCCCATGTGTTAATATCTGCTTTGTAGATGTCACATTGTAACAAGTGATAAGTAACTGAGGTAGGCTGTGCTAAATTGCTTAGTACACTGATATTTAAAGGCTTAAGGCTGTCAGTAACCACATCTAGATCTTTCTCTCTCTCTCTCTCTCCCTCTCTTGGTTTCCATTTCATGCTGTACATTCTCACTGCCAGCATCATTGAATTCATTCTTTCTAGGTGACCAAACCTTTTGAAGTTTTTGTTTCTCAATGAATTTAGCAATTGGTATTGGTCCAAACGGACATATTGGGGGTGGGGGGGGGGGGGGGGGGGTCTTACAATAAATCTGTGGATTTATCAAAGATCCAAGCAGGGCAATGGAGTGTGAAGCAAGAACAACATTTATAATGTATTTAACATACTGACATGACTGGGGCATATACAGTAATAATGGCAGATGAGAGGATAGGTAACAACTGTACACAAGGGAGCTGAATGGTCACAGACCACGAGGCAGACCAAGAAGATCGTGGAGCGATACTATCCAGGCAGACCTGCAAACACTCAGAGTCTTCAAAGAGAAAGAGAAGACTAATCACAAAGATGAACGCTGGCGGGTGATACCTGAATCATAAGGGCTGAGAATGCTGGGGAAGAACAAGAAGACTAGTGCAACAGTCCTTCTAATATCTTCATTTCTCATACAATCTCTTCTGGTTTTGTTCACAGCCTTTCTCAAACATCTCATTTCACAACTCAAGAACACAAAACATATTTCATAAACTGTTGAAACATATTTTTTATCCAGCGAAATTCACACAGACACCACTCAATTTGGTTATGTTACAACATGGGATATTATCACGAGGCAAAGGAATGCATGACGAAAATGCTGCAGAATTAAGATGCTGAAGAGACATACCTGAGATCAACTCAAGATGTTAAGTGCACAATGCACAAAAAAAAATTCAGTGAAAAATAATATACAAAATATAAATACAGCCAGTGGTAAGAAAAGTGGACAGTCAAGCAGCAAACTTAAAAGCTGCACACAGTTAAGTGAACAATGTGATACCAGATACATACAATAACTCAAAGCTGCACACAATTAGGTAAACAAGCTGGTACCACATACATACTCCAAATAAAAGCTGCACACAGTTAAGTGAACAAAGTGGTGCCACATACATACAAGAACTCATCAAAGATGCACACAATTAGATGAACAAAGTTGTACTATATACATACAAGAACTTAAAACTGCACACAGTTAAGTGAACAAAGTGGTACCACATACATACTACAACTCAAAGCTGCACACAATTAAGTGAACAAACCGATACCACATACATCAAGAACTTATCAAAGCTGCACACAATTAAGTGAACAAACCGATACCACATACATCAAGAACTTATCAAAGCTGCACACAATTAAGTGAACAAACCGATACCACATACATCAAGAACTTATCAAAGCTGCACACAATTAAGTGAACACCACATACATCAAGAACTTATCAAAGCTGCACACAATTAAGTGAACAAACCGATACCACATACATCAAGAACTTATCAAAGCTGCACACAATTAAGTGAACAAACCGATACCACATACATCAAGAACTTATCAAAGCTGCACACAATTAAGTGAACAAACTAGTACCACATACATACTACAACTCAAAGCTGCACACAATTAGGTGAACAAGCTGGTACCACATACACTAACTCCAAATAAAAGCTGCACACAATTAACTGAACAAACCAGTACCACATGCTACAACTCAAAGCTGTACACAATTAAGTGAACAAATGGGTACCACATACATCAAGAACTTAAAAAAGCTGCACACAATTAAGTGAACAAAGGGGTACTACATACATACTACAATTCAAAGCTGTACACAATTAAGTGAACAAATGGGTACCACATACATACTACAATTCAAAGCTGTACACAGTTAAGTGAACAAACGGGTACCACATGCGTCAAGAACTTATAAAAGCTGCACACAATTAAGTGAACAAAGGGGTACTACATACATACTACAATTCAAAGCTGTACACAGTTAAGTGAACAAACGGGTACCACATACATCAAGAACTTATAAAAGCTGCACACAATTAAGTGAAGACACTGGTAGGACATACATACAAGAACTCATCAAAGCCGTACACAGTTAAATAAACAAAGTGGTAAGACATACATACAAGAACTCATCGAAGCCGTACACAGTTAAGTGAACAAAGTGGTAGGACATACATACAAGAACTCATCGAAGCCGTACACAGTTAAGTGAACAAAGTGGTACGACATACATACAAGAACTCACAGCTGCACACAGTCAAGTGAATGAACTGGTACCACATACCATACCTACAAGTGCCAGTCAATAAATGTTTATTTATTTATACAGAACCTGAAATATGTATTATGTCTGATACAAGTTAGGAATAAATAGTAATCTTTCTGTCTTGTAGCTAAATAGCACAGAAATGGGCTATCAGCATCCACACTCTCAGTTTTCTCCTGGTAAGAATAAGTGCTCGAGGGATTGTTCTC